TCTCATCATTATTTTAGTCATTGTTTTGGTTATTCTGGTGCTTCTTGCCATCCAAAAATTTAACCGAAGCTGCTTACCTACAGGAGGAGCTTCATGTCGAGGAATGATATGGTATTTCACTTAATAAGATCAAAAATATGACTTTTTTTTTTCTAGATTGTAACTACTATCAATATTTAGCTAATTTTGTACAGACGATCTAGCCATTGGAGACATTTGTAATCTGATTATCATAATTGAATGAAATATAATTAATTACTTCTAAATACAAATAAAATAAATTCTAATATATCTTGTTTACATATTTTCATAAATATTCATAACGACAAAAACAGAATTTTCACTTAAAAAAAAAATGTTTTGCAGCTCCGTTATTATTGACAAATATTCACAATAAATATGTTGTTTGTATGTCATATGTGAGCTTGAAATGAGATGCTTCTTTTTTTTTCACTAAGATTTAATTCTTATATAGCATTATCAAAATTTTATGCTCTTTTAAATGTTATGTCTGATATTGAAATTGAAACTGATCAAAAGTTTCAAAAAAGGAATCTTTTTAAAAATTATAGCTTCTTCATAACTTTCGAATTTTTCACAGTTTTCAGCTCGATTATTTATTCAACGTGGTTCATCATGGCGAAAGAGGATTTTTTTCTTTCAAATGATATATTATAGAAATATATTTGTATTATTGATGAGGAGCTGGCGTGCGATTAATACAAGTGTTTCAATCATTTATTGTATTGAAAAATATAATTTATGCAGTCATCTCGACTATATGCTTCGAGTTTTCAATTCCCAATCTTGATATCTGCACTATGTTCAAACTCTACTTGTAGCTGTCTTCTGGTAGAATTAAAATGAAAATCAAATGTCGTTTTCTCGACGAAACAACTTGTCTTATGATTGGATGACATAGGTAGAATCGGTGTAAGTTTTTGACTACCGATAACAATACTGGTTTGATCAATCTAACTTATTTTAATCATTTCAATTTTTCGAATTCTTAATATAACTTGCAGATTTGCATGGCCGAATTATAAATCAAAGTTCAGTATATCGGTAAAATATTGGTAGATTAACCTGTCTAAAATCCTTACCGGTACGGTGTGAATGTGAGGGTGACGCTGGATAGATTATCTTTCATCTACCCACTACATGCACTTAAGGTCGTTTGAAAACATCAAAAAAGACTTAGAAGCACATCGTCCAAGAAATGTTTATTGTATTCAAGAATATGTCGTTCAATATGCCTACACCTATTGTTGTTATGATTATTTCAATTATCTTCTTCTTTATTTTGACTATTATTATTATTCGGATGCGTAACCGAAACTGCGGGTACGTACAAAAGGAATATCATATCGACGAATTCTATGGTATTTTACATAACACAAAGAAAATAAGTATTTGAAGTGGAACATAGTAAATATTTCAAAGTGAACCAATAAATTCCTTTATCTCTTGATTACTCGTTTCAAACATTTACCTGATGTGTTGATGTTTTGTTGAAACAAAGGACAGGGGCGCATAAGAAGCCAATTTGGCCCATATAATATTTTCAGTCACTTTACTGCCCATCCTATTCAGAAAAAATGTGTTGATACTTTTGGTNTTGTTCGGATGTGAAGTACTGAATAATACTCCTGTGAAAGGACAGTATTTTCCATGATTAAATCTTTAATGAAAGAATATTAGTTTTTATATGAAACGATGCAGTATTAAACGCTCTTTCTAACCAATATAGATTGAGCTTGAAACATTGCCTAAAAGTCGTATATTTTGAGCTAATACTAGACAACTATGAGCCCAATGAAACTTCAATACTTTTTTGCAGGTATTCTCCCGCAAGATAGCTTATAATCCTCACAGCTTGACTTGAAATTGTTACCAAAAGCATCACCACATTTTTCTGAATAGGATAGGCGATAAAGTGACTGATAATATCCTATGGGCCAAATCGGCTTCTTATGCGCCCTGTCCTTTCAATCACTGAAAACTACCATCATTATATGAATGTTTAATTAATTATTACCATATCAAACCAAGAAGGAATTATATATTTAACAAAATTAATTATTCTTCAGTAAGATTCGTTTGATAAATACATTGAAGACGATTTCATACAGAACTTTTTCTACGTTACACTTCTCTTTGTTGTTGAAATTAGAGAGATAACGTCTATACATGATATGAAATTTTAAATTTTAACTATCATTCCTTCTCACATGTAGTTTCTCATCATTCATGATGAATCTATATATAAAATGAAGGAATAAAACTACTTTTAGATTAAACGATCGAAATCATGATTAAAAACTAGTTTTTGAATAGACTTTCTTTTGCGCTAATAATCACTTCTCTTGATGATTTTTATTTTACGTAAGAAGAATTTATATTAATAACGTAATGTTGACGAAAATGATTGCATATTCATCATTAGAAAAAACTGAATATTGAAATCTTCCATATAAAAAGAATATGCAGTTTATTTATGTAACGAGAACTATTTTTAGGATGCCTTGCAGAAAATTTTTACAATATTCATATCAAGTTAGATAATCTAGTAATAAATCATATGATAATTTAGTAGTTTTCACAAGAAATCTTATCGAATACTCTTCAAATTGTATCTCTTTTTGATGTAGAATTTAAAGAATCTATGATAATAAAAATAATGAAATTTAAATCATATTTATTCTTCTGGCCGATTTTATTTGGCAACAAAACAACGAGAAAGAAAGAAAGCACGCAAAACTTGTTAATGATATCACGTCATATTTTGATTACTCGTTGTCAACATTGGTTGTAAGTAATCCTAAAGAAGACATTAGACATATTCGCTTTAAATGGAAGAAAAAACAAAGACAAACCTTTAAATAAAGGTACTCGAACAAATGTAACCAATGTATAAAGTTTATGTGGTGAATCTTCATCTTCATTACGTTGTCGAGCTAATCGAACTCGAACACGATAAGGAACATGACTAAAGAAAAACAAAATTTTACACAAAAAAAATATTATTGATATTGAACTAACTTGATTCCTTGTGACCAAATTTCCTTATTTAATTTTGAATCAATACGAACATCAGGTGTTTTCATCATTTTTTCGGCAAATTTTTTTAATTCTTTAACTGCACGCGGTGCTCGCTTCTTGAAAGCTCTATTTGAGATTCAAAAGAAAAAAAGAAACTAATCATTAATAGTGTAAAAACAAGACCAAACTTACACGCCATGCAATCTTTTATGTAAATTAACTGTATATTCACGAGTGACAACTTCATTTGTGATCTGTTTTTTGCTGCTACCACTCTCGCCTTTCTTCGTTTTAGTGCTCACCATTATAGATTAGATACGTGATCTAAAAAACAGAAATAAATAATGAATATTTCTCAATAAATACACACGATCCGTTGTGGTCGACACAAATATAACGAATGAAAAGAAACACGTTCGGAAATGGATGAAAAAACGAACGGCTTTTATGATAGGTCAATTAAATGATCAAATCCTCTATTCTATAGAAAACACTTTGATATGCCTCTCAATAATATTTCAACGATGGGTCATGACATCTACAGGAAAGAGTGAGATATCTTTTTATATGAAGATTAAACAGTTACAGAACGATCAATTTAAATTTATGAAATGAAGAGAGTACCATATTATGTGTTCTAAATATTTTTAAATCTAATTTAATATTCCAAAGTTCAGATGAAAAAAGAATAAAAATAAACGAAACACAAATCGTTTGTGATTATTGTTTGGATCGATTTCTTTTCCTATTGATCTTCCATATATATGTATGTAAAGCGTCTCAATCTAAAATGTTGTCGTATAATTGGCATGTTGACAATTATCATTAATATTTTTTTTTAAACAAGCTGTTTTCGATGAAATCCTGACGAGTGGCACAGTAAAAATAAAACACTTTTATTTGTTTTTTTTTTCAATATTCTAGAAAGTATATCGATCATGAAATCAATGTTATACAAATAAGATAGAAAATCTTCTGTGCAATAAAAATAATAGTCTCTTAATAAAAAAAACATTGCTTCTTCATAGACAAAAAGAAGTAACAAAACGAAATGAGGTACAACAAGTGGAACTGCAATTTATAACTTTTTTCTTCAAGCTTGTTTTGCTTTCAGTAGAACTTGTTTAATGAAAATCTTTGTTTTGATCGAATATATCTATGAACACAATTTATATCATATTGTATATCAAATAAATTACGATTTTGATTTTTTTAAAGTCTATCAATATAAACAGAAGTTTTTTCGGAAAATAAAACTACCATAGATATCCATTATTTAATGTTTTTTTTTTGAACTATCTATAGAATATAATCATTTTACTCTCTTCAAATATTTTCTTGAAAATAAAAATTGTTTCGTTAGTCGATGGGGTCGAACTTTTGTTCTTGTCTTATTAAACATGTTACTGAACCATTTCAATAAAATTTTTTTTTTACTTAGAGATTTACGATGAACGATAGAATAAGTCTTGTCAAACACATAACAAACGATAATTTTGAAAGAACAGATTTCTCTTACTTTAGAGTGGAATTTTCTCTATCATTTGTATGTTCGAACAAGTGTTATAGAAACTTTCGAGAATCTGAATAAAAACAGAACAAAAGTGTCTTTTTCATTGGGCGCCATCCATTTGATGCCATGTATGTCAATAAGATAAAAAGAATAATGCATTTTTTTAAAATTCAATGTTTTATTTTCTGAAATACTTTTTTTTTTTGAATTACAGAAGATGAAGATGCATATCGAAAAGTTATTCGAATAAAACTACGTTCAAATTGACGTGTATTATTAAAGATAAAGTTATCCTCTGTAAACCAAACAATATTTTTCATCATACAAATATCTATCAAACACAAAGGGAATCTCTGTAGTTTATTTGTTAAAAGAGAGAAAAAAAACGAACTAGATATACACTGAGGATAATCGACGAAAGCGGATGGTATGACAGAATAAATGTTCAATTCAAATATTTAAATGAAGGCCAATTGTATCCATCAACCAATGGATCTTCAGGAAATGGTAAATTTTTCTTCACACTATAAAAATAAAATTTTCTTTTATGATATTTAATAAGTATAAAAGATTTATATATTTACCGATGTTGATACATATATTGATGGCGAAGGATCTAGAATTAAAAACAAAACGAAAATATCATATAAATTTCTATGATACTATAATAATTTGATTACTCGTTTTTCAGCAAGCACACATTCTTTGACATCATCTTTTTCATCTTGACATAAATATCGATGAGTACTTGGCATCTAAATTAATTATATTCTCTTTATTATTAATTGGAAAAAGATCTTTATTAAAAACAATGTCTAAATATACCATATGAGTACACATTCGATATTGTTTGAACACTTTAGCACATCCCATATTACCCAAACCCATAGCCCAAGGTTCAATAGCCATATTAAATGGTGAATAATAAAGACCAATAGTTGGCGTTGGTTCAACAACTTTACTATGATACCAACGTCGATGCCAACGAACAAATGGATTAATATGTTCTATAGGTTGAACATCTTTATTATAAACAAGTCGTTGTTCTTGTTCATCTTCTTGTTGATTACGAATAGCTGTTTCTGCTTCTGATGAGCCAGCATTTGGCATTGATCGACCAGAATCTGTATAATGACCTATGATACGCATTAAAGCAGGCATTTGAGCAATATATGGACGAGTTGGATAAGAAAGATTAGCAGATAGAAGAGGAGTTTTTGGCTCACTCTTTTTATCTTCTTTCGTATCTTCGACCATATTAACAAAATTTATCTGAAACAGGTTAACAAAAAAAAGTTAACAATCAGAGAATAATCTCCGAATTTATTATTGTTTTTTTTTTTTTTATTAAAAATCATCAGCTGACAATGTTTTAACACGATCTTTTCGACGATCGAATTTCTTTTTAACAATAGAAAGAAATTCATCAGTAGTCGGAGTTGACGAATCACCATTGGTCATTTTTGCTTGACGTCTAAAACATTAATTAAAACAATTATTTTCATCGATTCTTTTTTAACAAATATTTGCTTACTTTTTTACTGGTGGACTTGTTGATGCATCTTCTTCTTCATCTATGTCTTCATCCTCTTCTTCTTCTTCTTGCTCTTCTTGTTCCTCGTCAAGATCATCATGTTTTCTTTTCGTTTTTATTTGAAAAAGTTCTTCTTCATCTTCATTATCACTAAATTCTTTTTCAATCATCGATTTGAAATTTTGTTTTCCAGCTACTTGTCGTTCAGGTCGAATCAAATCGGGTAATGATGTTCGACCCAATGATGATATCTATTGAAAAAAATTTTTATATAAAAAAAAAAAAGAATTTCTTATTTTAGTTGAATAACTAACTTTTTCTTTTTGTGCAATATCTTCTAAAACTTCACGTTGTCGTAATGATTTATATCGTTGAAAATGAACAACAAGTGGACTTGATGTAGATTCTTGACGACTTTTTTCAAGCCAATTATCCTATTTATTTTAATTAATAGTAAAATAAATCTTAATAAATAATAAGAGATTTTTTTTTGTTACCATTTGTTTTATATCTTTAACATTTAAACCTGTTTTTTGTCGTCGTTTTTCAATTAAATTAACATTTTCTTGTACTTTTTCCAATAAACCTCGAATAACTTTGACAAAATTTTGTACTTTGCATACTTTAATGAATTTTTTACATTTAAGTATTAATGGATAAACAAGTTCAGGAAATGTAACATGATAAGCATAATGAACAAGATAAAGCATAACAAGTTCATAAAATTGATCCATTAAACCATCCTAAGTAAAAAAAATAATATAAAATTGAATTTTATAAGAAAAAAAATTATTAAAACAACAACAAAAAAATAAATAAACCTTATATGCTCGATCATCCATTTGTAATTTAGTTAATTTTAATGATGTATCAAAATTAATAAATTGTGCTTTGAGAGAAGCTGTCTTATGACGTTTGTTGAAATCAGTTATATCAAATATTTCAAGTAAAAATGGTAACACAGGTATAAATACAGATGTTAATTGAGTCAATTTAATTAGAAGACGAATACAATGAAATCGTAATGGATAATAACGAGCTGTTGGTACCAATCTATTAACGAAAGACGAACATTATTTAATAATTCAAAAATTGAAACATTAAATTTTAAACTACTTCAGTTTTTTTTTGTAGTTTACTTCGTTGAAGTTTCTTTTCTAAGTATCTTAGTTGAAAAAAGTCTAAATTAGATGTAATAAGTCAAACTATTGCAGATTTTAATGATCTACATCTTCATAAATAGCAATGATCAGGGCTGCCCCGAGTCGATCAACATTGGGGGGGTGTAGCGAATTTTTTTGGGAGGAACAGGTCGAGTATTACGAATTTCGGGGGGGTCTAACATTATTTTTGCTAGCAGAAAGCAAGAAAATTTTCGATTTTGAGAGCAAAAAAACCGAAAGTTTTTGATGATTGGGGGGTGTTACACCCCCGATACCCCCCCACCCCCGGTCGGAACAGCCCTGGCAATGATGATAAAATATTTTTCGAAGTACTTAACTTCAACGACAAATAATCATATAAAATTTTTTTAAACTAGTATAGATTTTCATTCCAATTAAACAAAATTTCAACTAAAATAATTTTTAAAAATGATTATACCTAATTGTACCGATAATAAGTTCTGTAAGTGGATGAACAAGTTGTTGAATTAATTTTTCTTTATTATCATATAAAACACCAATAACATTTGTCCATAAACTTAATGCATGAATAAATTGCCAATTATAAACAGTTTGAATATTTTCCTAAACATAATATTTTCTTATAAGATTGAATTTAAAGAACGAAAATTTCTAATGAACCTGTTTTTTATTTTGAGTAGCTGTACGTAAATAAACAGCAAGTTGTCGAAGAAAAACAAAACCATGTTGATATGTAACTGTTGGATCAAGTGAATAAAGTTCGACTAAAGATCTTTGCATAAAATTTATTAATGGAAGTGTTGTTGGTGATGTAAATTTGCAATTTTTCAAATAATCCAAATACATTTTCTATTTAAAACAATAATAAAATATTCTATTGAAATGATTATTATTTAAAACAAAAAAATATTTACTCGTAAAACAACACCCATCATTTCTTTTCGATGTTCACGTATCAAATGAAATAAACAAACAAATGAAATAACACGACTACGTTCATCTGATGATGTTGACCAAATATGAATTAATTCCTAATTTAGCAAAATTAAATTTAAAAAAAAATAAAAGATTTTTTTTTTTTTCTTCACTTTAACAATTGCTTCACGAGTATTAGGTAAAACAATAACAAACGGAATGAGAGAACGAACATGTCGAAGAAGAATATTCAATGTACTTGGAATATTAATCATTGATATGAGCTAAATTTATTAAAAAGATTATAAAATAAAACTATTTCAATAATAAACAAACTCGTGTAAAATGAAGTAAATATTTCTTGATGATACTTTCAATATATTTCCAATTTGAACTTGTTTCTGGTTTTAATTTACTTGTTGCAACAATTTTTATTCGAAGAAATCGATAGATAGCTGGTAATAATTGTTTAAGACATACACGAACAATTGCATTAAATGCTTAAAAAGAATAAATCCTTTTTGAAAAGTTACGCATAATCAATAATAAATCATACATTCCGGATCATCGATTGCACCATTTGTTAATTGTTTCTTCTTCTTTCTCTTTGTTTTTTGATCTGTATCAGCTGATACATCAGTACCACCATAAGCCGATTGTACGGCAAAACCAAAAGCTCGTATTACATGTCGAATAATATTTAATGTTGGTTGACTTTTCTAAAAATTTTAAATAAAATAATAATTGAAGAATAATAAGAAAAAAAAAAATTTTACTTGAAGTTGATTAGACCATTTTTCAATCGTTTCAATTGTAACTTGTTGTTGTTCTTCTTTACTTAATGGTTCACCATCTTCACCTTCCTAAAAAATTTAGTTATTTTTCTTTTTTTCTAATAAGAATTTCAAAAAAAACATACATCATCAGACAAAGGTTCCATTTCAGCAAGTTGTTCAGGTAATTGATGAATTTGATGTTCTGGATCATCATCCGGAATAGATTCATCATCTTCATCATCATTAAAATTAAGTAAAGTAGCATCTTCTTTTTTTAAGAATTTATAAAATTCTGGATCAACTTTTGATAAATCAGCTAAATCTTTTTTATGTTGTTCCGATGCCGATATTCCATTTTCTTTTGGTCTAAAATCATAAAGTAAAATATTTGAAATTCGAAAAGAAAAATTTTTTTCTTTTACTTTTTGTTCTTTTTTATATCTTTTTTTATTGATTTTGTTATTCGAGATTTCATCTAAAAGGATATCTGATTAATTATGATTATAGATCAATAATGATCATCTACACAGGTTTTTTTTTTCTTTCAAAGTATAAATAAAAGTTTATATAAAAAAAGACAAAAGAAAAAGTTTTTGTTCTATTTTTTTTCATTAATCTGACTTATGCACACATGAATTATACATATAAAATAGAAAATTACTAATTAAGAAGAAAAATGGACGGAAAATTGTTGAAATGGTTGAAGATTATATTGAGCTATAGAAGCAAGTAACCATTCAGGTTTAACATAGGCTGTATATATATGACCTTGTTGTTTTATTTCATTGCACAATACAATTATTGTTGATGATTGATTTTGATTTGAATCATCAACAATTGTTCCACCACAAAGATAAATAAGTTCACGAAGTGCACGATTATCAGCTAAAATAGCTTGACAACCATGTTGTTCTGGACATTCTAAACGAAATGCAATGCCTTGAAATAGACCTTGTGAACGAGGAATACGTGAACGAAGAAAACCACCATGATAACCATATGTTGGATCACCTAAGAATATTTCATAGATTTGTGATGGAACAATTATCTGATGTGTTATTGATGCAACAAGCCATTGAATACTAATTATTGGTAAATGACGAGCAGTTGCTTGAATTACTTTTAATGTTAATGGACAAACAAGTGGAGTATTCTCGTCTAATGAATCAGTTATTAAATGAGTTGTTGTTTCATCAACTGTATTTGAATAGCGAATATTAAATTGAGAAATAAACTGTTCAAAAATGATCTATATTAATATATAAATTCATAATTAATATATGTTATCAAAGGAATAATGAAAGTAACATTCATAATAGAAAATTCAATTTATTAAAAGATACAAAGTCTCGATATTAAAATTCATACTGAACTAGTTTTTCAATGAACCCATTAACATATATATTATCCATTTCTGAAAATAAGTCGCTTGGGCAGAATTCTTATAACTTTTGAAGGGAAAGTCATAGAGAGCTGCGGTTTTCACCGTTGGATAGAGAACATCAGGGCACATAAGTCTATGTAAAAACCGATGGGACAATCCATAAAAATACTCGTTATCTGCGTCATCAAATTTGGATGAAAATTACATAAAATATGCCTATTCTTGAGATTTAACCTCAGTATACAACTGATTCACACATCAGATATACAGTAGACAGTGCCTCTGCATCATTTGAACTCAACAAGATAAAATGTTGAAGTTGCCCTTTTTGAAAGAGAAGGATTTCCTGTGAGAAAAAGGAAATTTCAGATTTCTAAATTTGAAGCTTATTTTAGCGGTTTTCGACAAATTTATTAAAAAGTTATAAACATGTACTTTGTATAACAGATCTTTTTTTACATAGCCTTACGTGCCCTGATGTCCTCTATCCAATGGTGAAAATC